TTCGTCTTCGGAGAATTCGTCTGCGGAAAGCGTCTTCGGGGTCTAATCCGTCTTCGGGGGCTAATTCGTCTTCGGAGAATTCGTCCGCGGAAAGTGTCTTCAGGGTCTAATTCGTCTTCGGGGTCTAATTCGTCTTCGGAGAATTCGTCTGCGGAAATCGTCTTCACATTGCGGGAGGAGAGGTGGCTGTGCTTGAATGTGTCTTCGTAATGTGTCTTCGTCTGCGGGTGGAAAAGTGGGACCCCCACAGCGGCTGCAATGTATTTATTATCACTATTTCTTGTTGAGACATTTTTTGTGGTTATCATGTTTGTTGATATATTTATTTATATTATATGTCCAATGTATTTTTGTATATTTGTATTATTGTTTAACTACAGTATTCACTTTTAGTTTTTGGTCTGCACTGTTGGGATGTAATAATACCTGATTAATGTCTCTCGCAATAATGTCTGTTATTTCGGTCTTAAATTAAAACACCTCCTTGAATAATGTCTATATGTGTTTCATTTTTAAAGAATACCCTTCACTCATTACTTTGATGTCTAATTAGTGATGTCCTCTAAAGTCAGTTTTGACTTCTATTGGTTTCCTTTTGAGTTCCTTTGATCTCTATCAATTACCTTTGACATTGTCTCATTAAGTGCTTTAACTCCCTTTATTCAGTCCCTTTTTGTTTCCTCTTGATTTCCTATAAAATCATTTTTTACAGTAATTCCTTTTGATGCCCTTTTAACTCCATTTGATTTTATTTCAGCTCCTTTTAACTCCTGTTGATGTCCTTTTGATTCCTTTAATTCCTTTTGAGGCCTTTGTTTTTTAATTCGTTTTGTTTTCCTCAAGATTTCTTCAGAATTCATTAATCAGGAGTCTCATGGTAAAACCACCGCCGCCCAGAGCCATCCACACATCGCCTGGAAGATCGCCACAGGCGGTGCAGAGAATGCACCTGTAGCCTAGGTGATGATGCAGGATGAAGAAACAACAGAACAACAAACATACGTATTTGTGTTTGCTTCTCTTTTTTCAAATATAATGAGAACATCTGAGGACAAATCTCAGTAGACGGTTTGCTAAGGCGCCAAGGGGTACACATATCCCAACAGCGCTGGCCTGTGCTGACATTGAATCACGACAGAACTTTTCAATCACCTGATTTTCCAATCACCTGATTAGGACAAAGAAAGGAAACAAAAAAGAACACTATAGCTTGCGTACGCTTGTGTGCTTAGCTTCCCAGTGCCAGTGCAGCCGGTAGGGTCAAACAAAAATTGAGATGCTGCACAAGGCAAAAAGGGGTTATCTAGGGTTTATCTATCCCATCATGAAGGTACACTTTTGGACAGCGTCTACCCCCAAAGAGCCCAGTGTGTCATTCCACACGCAGACTCCGTGACTACCCTCCCTCACAGGTGCTCGAAGGAGAAAGAAAACAACTGCTGTCAAACAAGCAACGTCCTCTACTAGTAAAAGGAACTTTGCTTGGCCCTGAAGTCCTCAAACAGTCAATGCTTGTCCAGTCTTGGCTCCAGCTTGGACTCCGTTTGACTCAAAGGATTTAAATGCTGGCACCACAGACCCGGCCCCACAAACTCGCATCCCCTGAACAAGCAACCCCGTAAGACTGACCAAGCAACCCATCCCACCACAACCCACCCAACCATGCATGGTAAGCCTGGTAAGCAAGTGTTCATCCACCGACAGCCTGGCTTGCAGGGGTGGTGAAACCCAAGCTGCTTAGCTGGAGCGGTGGAAGCCGAGCAACCGCGTTGATCGCCTGCAGCCGTAAACGCAGGAAATCATCGCCATAGCGATGCAAGCGCTGCTCAAAAAAATGCAGGGCCTCAGGATTGCCTCAGGGGAGCTGCAGGGCGATGGTACCAAACACCCGAAGTACTCAGTGAAACTCAAAAACACCTAAGCTGCTACTCAAACACCAAAACTGAAGGTGAAGCTCCTGACATCAAAGCAAGCAATGTCACAGAGTCCATGTGGTTCAAAAAAGCGAGCCTTTCTAGGGCGAATCGGCCGGTTGAGAGAATAGTCGACAGTGCTTTGACTGTTGAGCCACACAGGTGATTCCCAAAGGGGCTGCATACTATGCCTCTGGTGGTCCCAAAAACGATTCCGACCGTTCACACTGGACACCCCAACAAACGACTGGGCACCAAACGGACAACACCGGACAACGGACGCAATCCTTGACAACTCATCCGCAGCTCATCCCAATTGCCAATCATGTGATTAGCCTCTTCAACCTTCAGAATCATAGTCTTAACGCTAATCAGTCCTGATACTTGAGTCGTGACCTATGATTCTTCAAGCATCTCACCTCCAACCACTCTGACAAGGGTGTTCTCAGCCAAACACCCTATGGATCTCTATGGAACTTATTGATTTGTCCAGTCCACCCTGAACTGTCCTTGAGCACTGTGATGTGTACCAGAACGTGGCAACACTTCGACTTGGAGAGGTCTTACCAGTGCGACTTGTCGTACGTGTCGTACTACTGTGACTATACGTATCATCATCTACCAGTCGTGCGTCATGGCGTACGACTGGAAGACAGGAACGGGGTTTAGAACTCCTTGTTCCCGCGAAAAAAACACATCAACTGGCCTTCCACTGCCACCACCTGCAGGCCAGCCAGCAGCATCATCTCTGAGTCGACTCCCTGAGAAGCACCGAAGTCAAAGGCTAAAGCGGCCAAGGCAGAGGAAGATGCCCAAGACGATGGCCTCAAAAGGCCAACATGTGACGAGACCGCTGTGCTGAAGTGTTGTGTGCGACGGGTGCTCCGACATGAGGCCGACTATATGGGCCTAGTGCAGTGGCAATACTGAGGTAGCATTGGTCACCACCAGTGGGTGTTGCAGGGTTGATTCAAACGCCAGCGTCAACGGATCGAACTCCCATCTAATTTAGGTGGTCGACGCAAACCGCCGATGTTCGTGTCGGGAAACGTGGCAAGAATTGACGCAAACCGAGATCATGGCATCGGCCCACCCTGCCTGGGAGCTGTCGAGGCAAAATGGAAGTTCTGGAGTTCCCAAAGGACCCTGCAAAAGCTGAAGATGGAACCGTCGACTCATGTGGGGAACATGTCATGTTGAAGGTTAACTCTAAGCATACTTGTCCCCTGAAGAAAAGGGGACTTACCAGCATGCTTCATGATGGCTCTACATCTTCAAACTTGGGTTTTAATCGCCGGTTGGTCATCACTGGTTCAACATGTTTTGGCCACCGTGGTCGTTCCGGTGGCCTACTGCCGGACGTTCGGAAGCCATGGTGGACCAGGTCTGGTTTGGACCCACCGGTTGAAGCGTCACAGGCACGTCCTCACGTCTGCATTTGTCCTCACGTGCAACGACTTCACTGAAGCTTTCATTGAAAAAGGCTTTGCTTAATGGTCTCTCCTCTCCCAAGCTGCAGTCCTGATTTAAATTTTGAAATGGAGCAACATTGTACACACCCTGCCAGCCTGAACCCTAACTTGTCTTAGGTTATGCAAACAAACTCGGGGCATTCTGGAGAACCACAGGTCCTGGGGTTTTCTTCCGGTATTGGCTGTGAAGGTATGTGTTTAAAATGGTTCCCTGGGATGGATCATCGAGCAGTGAACCAGTCATGACTTCTCTCTGATATTCTCACGAGGGTCTCCCTCCTAAACACTCCATGTAGGATATGCATGGCATACATACACTATATGCACGAATGCAATTATACTATATATAGCTAAACAAAATGCCATATCCAAACCTAGCTATGTACTCTATGTGGTCATCACCCACTTCACCCCATCCTATCATGACTCGAAGAAATGACTCTGCAGCGTGGCCGCCACAGGGCACCCACGCCTGAGGTACTCCAGTTGACCTCCTGAAATGCCCAGGGCAGCGAACAGGCCACCGCTGCTCCTGAAACCCGAACGGTTCAGCCGGACTTGCGTCTGAACCAACACTCGCATCCGAAAAGAGTTTGCCTTGGTGAGACCTCGGCATGCCGGGTACTCTGAAGCAATCATTAAGTATCTCAAAACCAGAAGGGACATGGTGCCGGATTCATTCTTCGATCGTCCGCCAAAATGGCCACGGTTCACTTGCAAAGTTGTCTCCTGGCTTCTTTCGAAAGTGTGTGCCATCTATACACTTACACCTACTCTATTTATAGAATTTATACATATACCTGGATCGGCACAAGTATTTGCCTTTTCAAGAAAACATGCTATTACGGCGTCTTTTTCCAAAAACAGTGTTTTTTTTTGTTGTGACCAGTGGAAACCGGCAGAAACCCCAAAAACATTGCGTTTTTTCCGCTTTCTCCTTTTTCCAACGGCGGCCCAGTGGTTCGGTCGGGTCGCCGCGGTCGCCACACCGGGCCCTTCACCTGTGTTCACCCAAGGCACTTGAGAGTGTCATCGGCCTTGCGAAGGAAGTGCAATGGCTTGGGAGGCAAAGGTGTCAATCTTCCCGAGGTCAAATAGTGCCTGGCGCGAGGAAGTGGGCGTATGTCTGCATGGTTCCCACGACCACCTGCTCACCCATTGGGAGGGCCACCTTCCGACCACTTTCCTTCCCTCCACCCTTCCCCTTTTGGTTCCAAGGGACGAGAGGACCTCGAAGATGGCCATGCCAAGACGACATCCACGTGCCCAGTGTGGTCGAAGATGGCCATGCTTCGTGAACTGCTGCGGGTCGACCTCATGTAGGTCGACTGAATGTCGTATGTCTATTTCTTTTGCAGGTTTGCCGAGTCGGACTATGCCAGTTTATAGAAGGCGGTGATGCGCGAAAGAGAGGATGCACCTGTTTTTGAAATGCAAACTTAAACTATATATATAATTAGAACATATTCGAACATATACTACGAGATAAATGGATTAAACTTGTTTGTAAACGAAGTTTCCCAACGAGGGCCGCGCGAGACTCCCACAATTTCAACCTCTTCATGTCAAAAAGCAACTCTTTCTATAAGGTCTTCCCAGGCACCTCCTGAGAGAAAGTCGGGTGATCGGACCCAAAGTCAAAGAATTGGAACCAGCTCGTCGTCTCGTGGTTCACCTGGGCGATCGAGACCGTTGATAGCAGGACATGTGAAGCGGGACTTGACGCAGAGTCACCAGGCCCCGCCATAAGCTGACACTCTTGCGCGACTGGCAGATGTGCCCACATTGCACCCCTTTTAACCACCGCAATGTGGGTAATACATATATACTAATATAATATATATAATATGCGGGGGAGATCTGTACCGTTTTAGAGCCCATGGAGAATGCGCCGCCACGAAAAGTGCTGGAAGCCTCCAGGGAGATCAGCGCGTAATCTGTAGAGTAGAAGTTCAGTAGAACTCTGGAGGAACTTGAACTGTGGCTTCAGTATAGAGCTGTCAGAAGAACTGAGTGTAGCTTGATTCTGACGCAGGGTGGAGATGGTCGGCTCGATTTCCGACTCGAGGTCCCAAAAGCCGCCCAAGGGACTGACCACATCGCTCCTCCTAGGCGAGGAACAAAGAGGGAACAAGGGAATTACATGTCTTGTTCAGCCACCAGGTCAGTGCAGTTTGGGTGCTTAAAGGACACCAAGGCAACCAACACGTGTTGCACTTCCACTATCCTCTAGCTAGAGATGCTGACGGTAATTCAGCATTTAACATGCTTCTATTACAAGATATGTAGACAGCATCATATCCTTGAAACGTGAAGCTCCTGGGGGAAAATATAGCAATGTTTCCATCAACCCAGAATCTTGACCAAGGTCAAACTACTTGGACTATCTTGGATTGCTTCGGCCACTCTGCTTCTACCTCACATTCAGGGTTGGGTTGTCTGGTCTTCCACTACCCAATACCAAGGAGACAACCAGCCGCATCTGAGGGAGCCTCTTCCAGGTCGAAGTCAATGTTTAGCAAACAGAATCTTGACATATGCTTTTGCGGCACAACGCTGCACACAGTTTGATTAAATTCCTAGCAAAAGGACATCAACTTTGTCCTGCTACAAGAAAGCACGGTTCTCTACAATTTCTGTATCAATATTGACATCGAGTGGTGCAACCACCAAGTATATATCGTACTTATCAATAATGAGAGCATCCCCTGTCATTGCTTACTGTGAAAACACATGAACAAGGGAGGCACTGATTTCTGACATTGACGCACAGCACCCACGTGAGACTCATCACTATCACCAAAAGCCTACGCAGGCTCTGACTCAGCACAATCCACTGGCTTGGCCTTCTCTACAACACGCAACCACGAGATATGGTTTCAGAGTAGATGGCGCAATCAATCCCCAAAAGGTGGTTTATATGGACCCCCATATACAAGACATCTTTGGGTGCCAGTGACATCTATTCTGAAACTACTATAGCTGAACCTGTTGGCAATAGCCTGAACTTCATGATCACCACTATCACCCCCCAAACCAGAAACGGACACAGTCCTGAGATACGTAGCTTGAAGAGGAAATGCTGCCACCGAAGATCCTGGAGCGTCGGCAGCGTCCCGCTCTTCAAACAGCATATGAACAAAACAAGTTGAGAACATTTAAACATATCTAGCAAAGGATCTGTACCCAATGCTGCATGGGAACTAAACCTTTTTCCTACCAGTACGTCGCGGTACTATGCGGTACTGCCATCTTGGTGAACATCTAATCCAGTGACTGAAGCAGAAATTGGGCGGCAAACAACTGACATTTGTGTTGCTTCGCTCGAAAACAAAAAAGTGCGCCTGTGGAAGGTCCATGTACATATATATATATATTCAGTCCATAGGGATATATATATATATATATGGGTTTGTACTTTTTAAAGGTTCCCGGGCCGGGATGTTTGACTATGGGGTATGCTTCGGAGGTATGCTTCGGCGGTATGCTTCGGGGTATGCTTCGCGCAGTGTGAAGACTAAAGTAGTAGCATTTCCAGAGGGTATGCTTCAGGGTATGCTTCGGGGGTATGCTTCGGGGTATGCTTCACCTAAGTCGAACATCCCAGTCCTACATAAACTGGACACCTAAAACAAAGACAAGCCCATATATATATATATAATGGTCCCGGATGGACGTGAACCAAAATCTAAACCAGAACCTCAAGTGACCCAATAGACTTTTCCTCTACAACATCAATGCCCCACTAAACCGTTTTTTCAGATCACCTGCCTGGATCTGTCTATAGGCTTAGGGTGTCACTTCCTGACAGCCCTGGAAGAGCTCTTTCACCGGCGGCGGCGCTTTGCGGTCCACCTGGGCCAGGAGCTTGGAGGGGAGAACTTCTTCCAGCGGATGATAAGTGCCAAGAAATACCTTACAATAGCTTCACGTGTCACTTGCCTTCACATGTCCTAGTCAACGAGTCAACTCTAACCACTCCACATGTCTCGCCAAGGATATTTGTGCCATAGATAAACAGGAGGCCATATGATGATACCCATATACCGTGTACGTATATTATGTATTAATATTTATTGTGTACAACACTTGCTTTATGGTCAATACTGAATCCTAAAGTCACTTCAAAGCAGTCCGAAACCACCCAGTGATGCAGCTCAAACCCAAAACGAACCGGCGCACAGAAACCGGACGTCTGGCCCGCCGGCACACATCATCCTGCTCCTGCCTGAAAGAATCCGTCACGGAAGGGACGACAGCACTGGGAGGCGTTGCGCTCTGCTTTGCCTGAGTTTTCAAACCACCTGAGTTCACACTTAACTTTCTCCACAAATAACAAGCGAGGGAACTGTTGAAACAAATAACAAGCTCAATCTCACCTGGTGAAATGCCGAGCACCTTTTAAAAATACATCACTGCCTTCTGAACCTACTATTAAACAACAAACGGTAGATGATTTTAGCGGTGTTTTTCCTTCTCAGCAAGGTTCCGAGTTCCTACCATTGCTCGTTTCGCCCTTTCGCCTCGAGGACTGTCTGGCGGACCTGACTACTTTCTTGGCTCTTGCTGACTCACCAAAAGTTTGGTTCCTAGATGGATTCTATTTTGGATACCCCCTCATTTACGGGACCCCTATCAACAAACGCGAGGAAGGAGTTTTTTATTGTTAGGGAGGGCGTGTTCTGTATATTATAGTATAGGTGAAGGGGTTACTCACCCCCCCCAAACAACTGGAGATCTTGATCCTTCTTCCAGATCAGCACCCCAATCCCTCCCATTCCTCGTTGGCGGCTGGTGGCGGGCGGCATTGGCCACGTTTTGAGGGTCCCAACAGGGCGGCCAGGACATGTAGTGCGGCCTTGAGCCTTCCGTTGGATCCACCTGGCTTCTTCCACCGGTGTGGACGGCATGGTCCTCCCGTGTCTGCCGGTCAGCTGGTGAAAGGGCTTGGAAGGCTGGGGAAAAAGCAAGGCGCAAAAAGAGTGAAGGATGAAAGGGACATTCGGAAAATGCCGCATACACACACCACACCTGGTTGGTGACTTGTACATTGATTGGTGGAGGGACCTTAGTAACCCAAACAAGATTTTAGCTGCTTTAGCTCTTTTTTGTGTTCTTTCTTTCCGGATGGACAGTGCTCGCACACTTGCGAGCCGCTAGCCCTCAAGTCCACCGAGGTTGTGGATCACTGGAATTCCACATCCCGTCTCCATACAGCGCCACCAATGGTGGAGCTCAGGAAAAAACCCTCCTTCTGAGATCCCTTTGGACTTCAAATATCATTTTCTTGAATCAGGATGAACACGGGTGTTAGGTGTTGAACCACATAACTTCCCTCATGCCAACAGTCTTGCAATTCGGAAGCCAAAAAAAACCGTCCTCCCGTTGATTCAGTCTCTGGATATCGACTTGGATCAATGGGGGGTGAGCTGACCCGTCATCCCATAAGCGTTTGCACCGAAGTTGTGCTCCACATTGATATTACGAATGCTTGCAGGGCGACCAAATCAGCAGACCAAATCAGGCCATTCCGCTGGAAGTCCTTTCCCCTGCTGTCCAGTTCAAACCCCAAAAAACTGAGATACACCAAGTTGCCATCGGGAAGCAGCAGGCTTCATAAATCTGCCAGTCACTCCAGCATTCTGGATCTCCCCAAGCCACGACCGGAGCTCCACGGCCGAAACCATAGTGGCATGCCTACCAACTGGTGCGTAGGCGTGGGACTGCATGTGCATGTTGATTGCATAGATATTACCCTAAGAATCAAGGACCCTCAAAGGTGAAGGTTTTGAGGGTCCAAACCCCTGCTATGCAGGGTCCCAACCCTCCATAGGAGGGTCCCATGATTCTTAGGGTAAAGAGTTTGGCTGTTGCGGCTCTTGCACCCTAACATACCGTAAACAACATCCCAGTAGAAAAGATCTCGGAGCAAAGCTGTTGCGACCTATGGTGGCACAAAAGATTAATCCAAAGTACTAACTTATGGGTATGGGATAGTGGACCCATAGCAAAGTGCAACAGGGGCCGAGCTTGGTTCCCAGCTGGTGGATGACGATTTATCCAGCATTACTCCAACACATTCCATATTCCAGCCGGGTCTGATTTGCTTGTCTGCTTAAAAATGTCAAAAGCCGCCTGACCGACCTACTTTGCATTTCAGAAAGCCGGTGAAGTCCTACGTTTTAGATGATTTGAGATCATTTGACGATTATCCAAACATCCAGGAAAAAACACACACACACAGACGCCACCGTGCCCGGGCGGATGAGTGAGACTCTGAGAGAACGTCGAGTCCGAATCACGAGGCTCGATCACGAGCCTTGTCCTCTATATCTCCCAAATACTCCACGTATGCCATATATGCATACATTGGTTTTGTTTTCGGGGTCAATGTAAGCATACATGGCATACATGGAGTGTCTGGGTATTGTGATCAATCACATGAGATGATATGAGATTATCGACATAGTAACGATTATGATATGACATGATAGATGGTATGACAATGTCATCATATGACATAGTATGAGATTATCATCAAATAAAATAGAAACACATGCGTGATTGAAACATATAGTTATTAATATATCATTTTTGATTGACTACACATATGTGTATCATGTGTATACATATATATATAAGTACAGCCTATATATTATATACTAGTATATATATATGTATATGTATATCCCCCCGACCTGGGCCACCAGGAGTGTCCCTGTGATGCGCATGCCCCATGGCGTTTTGGAACAGGCCGCTGTGCTGGGCACATGGCCAGTATATAATTCATTACTAGTAGCTTCTTGTTACTAGTAGGAGTGGCCTCCAATCTAATAGCGATGGCCACCTAGTAGCTGCTTGCTACTAGTAGCTTCTTGTTACGTTCGTAGCGATGGCCGCAGTGATGGCCTCCACCGAGCATTGCGTCACTTCTCGCTACGAACTCCCTGCTTCAGCTCTTCTTTTGGGCCACACGTGAACATGTTTGTGCTAAAGAAAAAGGGCCGCGAAACGCACGTGGATCTGTCCGACCCCAACGGACGCCTCACGTCGACCCACCGGTGAAACGCTCCGGACGGAAAGGTGCGGTTCCGGTCGCTGCCCGGCGGAGTTCGGCTGGGCGTGGCGAAGGGGTTTCTGTCTGTCATGAAGTCTGGAGTTCGACACCTCTGAAAACGAAGCATGCACTCTGTTGAACGAGAAAACTAGGAATTTGGCCAGCAAGCACCTGGAACCAATTCATATTTATATGGTTCACCTGTGAACATGTCTCAGACTGGGTGACTTGACGCTTCCTATCACTGGATGGAGGTGAAGTAAGCTGCGGTGTCACCTGAGCGACCCCAAAGGTGTGGAGCACCAACTGTCACCAATTTGGTTTTCTCACTTATATTATACAGTTGATGGAGAAAACTGCATATGTTAGAAAATAATAGTAAATATATATATATATGGTTTTCTCACTGGTTTTCTCAACAGTATATGTATATACACATTTCTGTTCATCTTCTCCTTATATATACTGTTGATGGATGAGATCCTGACCCACCGTTTATGCATGTTTATGCCCATCACTACGGGGGCCATCTTACGTCCATGAAAAAGGTTGCATGGTTTTTCGAGCTTTCACCGAGCTGCCGGTGAAGATGGTCCATTCATCTGGGCATCACTACGGCTACGGGGGCCCATGATGGGATGGTCCATGATGGGATGGCCATGCTGTTCGGGATGAGCTTCCTCTTCCAAACACCCGGTTCGGGGCCGCCAAACAACGCTGTGCTCCTGCGCCCACAGAGCTGCTCCACGCAGGTCTGGCGGGCAGGGAACTTGGAGTTTCTGACGTAGATGACGTGAGTACATGAGTCGAAAAGGAAACCCAACCAACCGTTTTTCAAACCACCCACTTTGGCAGGGACCATCCACTTCACGGTAGAACATTAATGCATGAATGCTTCGCTTTTCGCTGCTAGGTCCCTAGGAGTCAATGATTCTGCTTGAGCCATGCACACGCATTCCTTTTCCGGAAAACGATTGAGCTCATGGATGCCTTGGGAGTTGAAGATCATTGCCAGGGACCTGGATGACCACGAGCGACGTTTGAAGAAGCGACCCAAACAGGCGAAAGGAACGCGGCCTGCTGCCACTGAGCGAGGGGACGGACCAACACTGACACACACAGCTCCCACTGACCTCCTGAGAAGGTACTTCACGCCCAAGCAACTCATCCAAACTTATATGATCTATGAAATGATATGCATTCAAAGTAGCTTTACTGTAGCCACTGGATCAATACAACAACTGGACTATAGACTATGCGCACAAGTGGTTGTCTTGCGCCCATCACCACCAGCAACCGTGCGCCGCGTGTGCCCGACTAGGTGTTCCCGACGGCAGTTGATGAGGGAGAGCTGCACTGCAGAAATGCGAGTGGAAGAGCCTCTCCCGAAGGCTGAGCTGCGGGGCAAGTCAGGCCGCTTTCAGGTTCTTTGCGGCCATCCCCCCCAAAAAAATGAATGGCTGAGCCTGTGCAATTCTCCGCAATTAGACTTGCAAAGGGGTCGATTCCATGATATATATTTCCAGGACCTACCTCCACACGGTTCAATGCTTCTTCCAGCATGGGAAAGGATGATTTCAGAGGTGCTGCTCGACGGATTTGTGGAGCAGCCCGTTGCAAAGGTCACGACCATCGGTCACTTACCCCACCCAAATCTATGTTGTGCATATATGTATAGTATACACATATATAAATATGATATAGGAATATCTTGGACAGGATTGAACAATCTGAAATGTACATAGCATAGCCTGATCAAGTCCAAACACACTGAAATTGCAAGGGTGCTAGTGGCGGTGCTTGCGACAGGGTCCTTCATTTTTGGGATGAAAAGCAGTGAACCGCCCTAGGAGGTCGGTGATTCAGGGCAACGTGATGTCGAGACTTTGGTGATGTCGCCCTCCTGAAGACCTGGAGGCTTTTCCGAGGTCGGGGAACCCTCAAAGCTCTCATCCTGGAACTAAGCTTGCAAAAGTCCCACCTCCAACCTTCAAGTGAACGATCATGGTCCATCCATCGATCCCTCTATCATGGACCTCCTCACCCCAGGAAGCACCAGGAAGCATCCACACCTCCATTCTCTTGGTCTGCCAAGTCCTGCCAATCAATTCTGCAAATGGATGAAACAACATGTATCTTTACCAGGGAAAGGCTCTGGTACAATCGGTCCTATTCACTTGATGTTGGTTGTCTGCACAAAGCGAGTATACTTAATTGACTATAGGTAATCCTGGACTCACAGTGTGGGGGATCTTAAAAGGTCCTAAACAAAAGAATCAGGGGGTTCCACTTTGGAAACTTGGGTCAGTGCATGTCATCGCCATCCCTGTGCAAAGAGCCAAGAGTGCAAACAACGTCAACCAAACAAATCCAACACCTGTGAGGCAATAGAGCCAAATAGAGGCGATATCTGATTTAAATAAAACAACATTCGTCAACAAAGCCACACCATAGGCGCCATACGGAAACCGGGAGAATGACATTCAAATTTGTTTGTGCTATGGTTGACGTTGAACTCAACCCCGCCCAAAGGTCTTGTGCCCAAAACATGGACCCCGTGAAGGTGGGAAGAGTATCTGAGCTGAGGAAAGCTGCTCCATCAACAAAGCATTCTGGGCCCAGGGTCATTGTCCAATCACTGCACAGCAGTGGTGCCCGGAAAACACGGGTTTCAACAAAGACTTCCAAACATACGCTGAAAGTGACGTTCTATGACATACGGTCACTTGACCTGCTGATCCCCTGAGCATCTGGCTAAAAATCCCGCCGATATCCGCGGATCAAACCAAAAAACGATCAATCGTCCATTTGAACTCCCACTGTTCCGGCCACCTCCCTCAGGTGCCGGGCATCTCCTCAGTCACTCGCACACTGATGCCCTGCACGGTGCCAGCGAAGCCCCACCTCAGCTGAGTTTCGCTGTGACGGCGCTGGGACCTTCCGAGCGCTCCAACTAACAGACTGCTGATGAAAAAACAAAAACCAACCATCTGAATCATACGAAGAGGTTATCCAATTGGGAGGTTCTATAGATTCTATTCCACCATCGCACACGAGATCTGAGACGTGCGCTACCTAAACCCTCTCTGGAGTTTGCCCAACGGGGTGAAGCACCGAAAGAACGGAGTCTCTGCACTGCAGGGACAACAACGCAGACCCCTCGGTCTTTGGAGCATCGGCTTTTGGACACCCGTGCAGTGGAGCCCTCCAATTCCCAGCAGCGGCCAAAAACAAGTTCAAGAGTTCCCGGAGATCTCTGGTTGAAAATGAAAGTTCAGATCTTTTTCATATCAAGAGTTCAATATAGTTCAATTATATACCTAGAGGAGTTTGGCAGAAAATGATAGTTCAAACGTTGCAGCCGGACCTTGACATGCGCTGTGGACGGGCCCTCGTGGAAGTGCTGAAGTGAGGAACGACACGGGTCTCCATCAGTATGCAGGTGACGGAACAAGTTCCAGAGTCCAAAGAATCAAGAGTAACCGGTTCCTTAGAGAGCAAACCCCCAGTCCACCAAAACATTGCCAAAACGAGAAACATGTTGAAACACAATGTTAAAACATAAACTAGACCTATTAATGCATTTCTTAAAACATATTATTACTCATATTATATCATAAAACATATATATATATGATGAAGCCTACATGAAGGGAGAAAGGGGGTCAGCAAAAATCATTTACACGAAGTTAGTGCATCAAGAATACCGTCCACAAAGTTTTGCGAAGGTTTCTTGGATTTTGCTGCAGTCAGTTCTCCTACTGGCCCACCATTCCACGAAATGTCCACGAATAGTCCCGTGTTCTACGAATGTCCCGCGCCTTCCACGATGTTATGAATAGGTCTTTGCAAAACTCTTTCTGTGCACTACCCTTTCTAAAACTATCTGGACCATCCAGCAAAACATCACCCGAACAAAAAAAACCGCCGGGCTGACAACTGCGCCTGCGTTTTTGCTTTTTTTGGGTCGTCAACCTTCAACCAGTGGGTTCAAAAACCTCTCAAGACCTGCGTTTCTGCACATTCGACTAACAAAAATCAAGTCTTGCACGTCTCATTTCCAATGGTCTTCAAGCAAAATTTGCGCTTGACTGACGGTAGCGAGGTGCACATTTTCTCACAAGCGCACCCATGAAATTTGCACTTTTGGGGGGGGCTTTGAAGGCATTTTGTTACTTCGCTACAGCGAAACACAAATTCGAAAAACTCCAGCCAAGCGTTGCGTTTGGACCATTTTCTCGTCAGCGTCGAAGGATGTTTGAAACGGTGCTTCCTGTACACAGCATCAAATCTTTACTTGTGTTTTCCCACCTCCAACAGTACCTTTGGACACTCTTGAAGATTTGGGGGTTGACTTCACCATTGGACATGAGTGTGTGTGCATGGATGTGGGAATTGCCATCTTCGCGCGAGCCCAAAACCCATCTATGGAACCCGTGTTGACATCCAGTGACGGCTGTGGCCCCCTTCTCTTGACAACATTAAACTCTCCCTGGCTGTGGTTGCATAACAAGATGTACACTAGGCAAACAGCACCGCAACCACTTAGGGCCATGCTGCCAGGGCCTGTTCTTAGAAAATAACTTGAACAGCGACAGGAGCAACACAAGATGTATGTTGTAAAAAAGCCGAAGACTTTCGACATCGCGGACTGTCATTGACCCCCCACCCCCCCTACGAACCCCAGTCCCAAAGGTCCAAAATGCACCTTAAAAGCATGTCCAGAGTCTCGATGAGAGCTCAGCTTTAAACATTAGATGTAGAAAACCATATTTAACCTTCCCGAAAAAATAAAAGTAGCGTAGCAATCGGACACACAAGCTAATTTCAGCCAAACATGCACAACGGCGACATAAACATATAAGATCTTGCCACGGAGGAAACATGAGAAACACTGCTATTTACAGTAAAATGAAAGGTTTTCCACATGATCGTTGCTTTGATAAAAAAAGTGCACGACTACTAGCGCGGTTCTCAGCCCGCTAGCAAAAACAGACACATTACTAAAACATCCCCCTTGATTGTTCATAAGCGGGTCGTTTTTTTGATAAACCATTTGTGCTGGTAAAGTGTGAGGGATAGGTGCTTTGGTTTATAAAATGAATAACCAACTAGTTTACACAATATTATAACATGACCTGCATTGGTCATGATAGGCTAAGATCTACATCCAGAAGAGGCAATTTATGAAATGAGAATTGATTCGGGAATTCTGACCAGCCTCCGACACCTTGCCAAGTGAATTCGTTTAAAAAGAGACTTGTGGGTTCAACTGCCATCTATTACTGTCACTCACTCTCCAAGATACTGAAGGTAATGAAATGACCTGTGTTTTCATTCATGGGGGATACCAAAACACGCATACTCTCACAGCTTGCCCATCAGTGATCAGTGGACACCTCCGGTCGACCGCATCGCGAGCGCTCAACCGAAGCGCCGCCGCTGCGAGCTGTCGGAGCTTGGAGGCGACGGTCGCTCCTGGTTGGTGGTTTCGACGAAGCAGAACGGAACAGATCGAAACCCTTACGGGTCTACCACAGAAATATTGGCGCCACCCGGTTGCTTGTAAAAGGAAACTGGTAAACATCGAAACCTATAAACACCAAAACCATCCAAAACCCGATATCGCCGATGTCCTGGGGATTCACCAAGACGGATCAGCAAAAACCATCCCATAAGAAGTATGCACCCTCCTTTTTGGCCATCCACCTCCTTGCTGTCGACTCCGCCCTGCAAAGTCCTGCAGCTGCTGAAGCTCTGCAAGGATCGAAAGCGCCTGGCTGGAACACAAACCTCGAAGAAGTTCTTGGTCCTGATGCAAAACCATCCCCAAAGCAGCAGAACCATCCCTAACTAGGTTTACAGACTATATAGATGATATGTTTATACAATTGCATGGAACCGTAAATGTCCAAACCATCACCCAGGAACTCCGGTGATCCTGGGAACCGGCAGAATCCCGCAAGGTATTTTGTTGAATCTGCGTTCCTTCCGCAATTTGAGAAGATTTGCAGTCAAACACCCCAACTCACCTGGACTTGGAACACTCCCGTGCATTCGGCCAATCTGAAATTTACAATCATAAATCATACCCGAGAGTGGAGAGTCCGTCTGACCCTCATATGCTTCTCAGGCTTCTTGGGTGTTTCTCCCAGAAGTTCTTGCTTCAGTTGCGCAACCCCTGCACTGAGCGGGCGAACGCCCGGTGCATTGCTTTTCTCTCTGCACTCGGCGCTCGGCTCTGCTCAATGCCTGAGGCTCTGGGACCGAGGAAGAGGACATACCGGATGCAGGTAGGACCGAAAGACTGGTAATAGTGGGCGAACATCTATGGTCAAATGCTTCAGCTTCGGGGTGCTTCACAGCTTGTCTTCAAAACAAAAATGTCTAGACTCCATCTTTGGAAACTATGGGCACCCTGAGACCTACACTTGGACTTACCTCTCATGTAGTGGAAAACATCCTGCTGGCTATCATTCGGAACATCGTCTTCACAATGTCACCACGCCACCCGTTTCGGACGTGAGTGAGATTTTGCAGATGAGCATTAGTGCGCTGGTCACTCGTGCTGGTCATATGATGGGGAACTATTAGTGCAGCCCTGATTGGGCACCTGCAAAAGCAAAAGAAAGGAGGCCCAATGGCCTGCATGGCTTAGTCTTCGCCAAAGCCCAAGCCAATGACAGGGTGTTACGAAACAGAATGAACCGAGAACTCAGCGTCTCCCCACCCATCCTCTCCAAGCTGCGCTCCTTTCTCAGTCATATATAGACTGGTAAACTGGGGGGACAAGGCCCACGGATCTGTGTAGCACAGATCGCCAACATGGCCAAGACAGAACATCAGTAATGGAGGGCAATAAGACCCCCCTAGTTTTAGGGAGGCGGGCGGCGGGCGGGGCAAAATCCAGCAACCGCAGTGCCAACACTGGATAACCAGTCACATCACAGAAGTGCACTGCGGTCTCAAGCAAAACATGCATGTTGTCCAAAACAAGATGCATGAACAAAGAAGGATCCAAATCTCCTATTCAAAATAAGAATGCGGACACAACCTGAGCCCAAACAAGCAAAGGACCGAAGTCAAGAAGGTGCCCAGAGGCCCAGAAATTCACCAACCCACCAAGAACAAGGAGGAAAACAAAGCAAGTGACACTAAACCCCGGTCTAAACATCTTCAGACCTGGGGACCGTTCTCAACACAGGTGTCTACAATAAAGCAACATCAACAAGTTGCGGTAAGCATAATATGTACAGACTGTACAGAACACCGCTGAGGTTTCTTCAACAAAGGATGGCTTTCCAAGTCAAGTGGGTTCCTTTGCTCCAGGCTCGTAGAAGTGAAACATTAAGTTTTCAAGAACCAGCAACACTCCATGGGACTGGAATATATGCCTACACTGACCCCTGAAACCACCCCAATGTAGGTAAATATATGTAAATATGTCATACATGGAGTGTCTGGGCATGGATCCATCTTGCGGATCCGCGCCAGTGGAGTCGCTACAGTAACTGGGCCGCTGCGCCCGATGCTACAACCCACGACTCCTCGTAGCGAGCCTTCGGTCCAACTTCGGGAACCTATTGGTCCAACTGATGGAACCTTCTGTAGTCCAAATATAGGTTTATCAAACGGTGTTTGCTAGCCAGCCCCCATCTTCAGCAAGTCCAAGGGCGCGAAGATCTGAACAAAAAAACAAACTTGTTGGTTCCCAGCTGCTCATTGGCAATCTCCTGCAGCAATCGCTTCGTCAAGCGCACTTGCGCGTCGCTCCCAGTGAGGAAGACACGGCAGGGGGCACCTGGGGAGAGGGAGCGACACCGCATGAACGATTTGGACAACCACTACACTCCCGAAAACTAACATAGACCCTGACAATGGCCCCCTGGAAGAGTGTTTTCCTCTACCAACCAGTGTTTTTCAGGGTCCATGTTACTCTTCCAGGGTGTATTGTAAGGAAAGAAATGCCAACAAGCCTCCGACACTGCACCGCCTTTGCAAACGCGTTTTCGACGTTTCAGTACTCGTTGTTTTTTCACTATCTGTTTGAACTGCCGAAAACAAATACATTCAAGTTAGGCAGCACCTTCAGGGGGCTCTACTTGGGAAAGAAAATGGTCCGGCCCTCTCTGAGTGACCCCGTAAGGGTCCATACTGGAGTCTTTCTCCATCATGTTTGAAGAGCCCAGCAAGTCTTGTCCAGCAAGTCTCGCATCATGGATTCCGCATCCATAGTCCTTCAGATCATTCCTTGTGGGATTTCTACTGCACCTTCGGCTCCTGTCGTCCCAATCCATCCGCCGCCGATGGACGACTGTGGTAATCAATGTTCAAATAAGGGGCGGCTGTAGTCAACATCGATCTTCACCTAGGTAAGTGCAAAGAACATCAACCAGACCTCCCTGGGGGGAGGACATCAAGTAGTTCCACTGGGTGAACTGGGACAACACGACTGCTAGGATGTTCCCGGCCCTCACATCTTCTCATGAAGCCAAGAACTAAAAGGCGGGTCTGGATCTTAAAAAAGGCCAAGGTCATCTTCGAACTCCCCGTGCTTCACAGTGTAACGGTGGTTAGATGGTTAGATATGGTTACAGTCTTAGGTGTAACCTTGTGCAGGGCGGGACGCTTTCAAAGCCCCCTTCCGGTGTCAAAGGTTGAGGAAAACCTTGAGCTGGGTGGGGTTGAACCAGCTCACTGTCGGACCTACAGGGCCCAAAAACATCCAAAAACGACTTATTGATGATTAGACAACACTGTTTCTTTTCTTTCCCCCAAGTCTAGGCGTTTCTTCAATCATAATTTCCTTAGAGCACAGGTTCTTTCTTTTTCGCATTGCCAGCGCAGGAGCCTTGCCTTGTGACATGATTTGTCAAAGCATGGGGCCTAGGTCGGGGCCAAAAGTGTTCAAGTGCCATGAGAGCAAGAGTTAAAAGCTCTGGAATCGGGCAATCGATGTCCTCCCCCAATGGCGCAGGCAACGCCTGACGAATCCAGGTAGCTTGTTGTCGGGTTTTTCGGGCGACGAACTTCAAGGCCAGCCAGTTGAACATGAATCGAACTCAGGCGCACATCTTGAACTGGTTGTGATCTGTTCTATATCTCTTCACTTCTCGCTCTGGCAAACATGGACAAACATAGGGGCCTCTTCGCCACGAGGCCTGTATCTTTTTCCGGCATTGGCACACTTCCAATGTCCACTGAGGAAGAGGGTCGTGCGCCAGGTCCATGTTGCCGAAGATCTTGATCGTGCCGTGTGGCACATGCACGGACGGTGTCTCCAGGCGTTTTTCTTCCACACCTTCAAACACCCCAAACACCTCCCCACCTCCCCTCCAACCAGCGGTCAACATGGCGATCCACAAGGCGATCCACAAGGATGGTATAGGTGACCAGCACTGCCTTGGCCGAGTTGAAACTCTTCGCAGCTTGCTTTCTTTTCTCCGGCAGCCCGGCCATGGTCGGTCTGGCGGCCACTGTGGGTCTGGCGGCCACGCTGTCCCGTAGCAAGTAAGCCGCCTTCTCAGGCTTTTCCGCCATGCTGACACCCTCAGTTTCCTTTGAAAATACATGTTAACCTTCTCCACCTGCTCCTTTTTGTGAAAGTGACTGTAGTGGGGAAACCAATACCCAGAAACGACGTCAAAGCTTATCCACTGGGTACCAGTACGTCACACTCAGGATCTTGATGTCAAACAAAACGCCCTTGCGCATCTGCTTCAAACGAGTTCCGCCGTGCCACCGAGAGCACTGGCTTCGGACTGTGACATCCACTGGTCTGGCGGCGCCAGAAGCCGTCCCCATGAGGGAGTCCTGCCATAATGCTTGCTCCTCTCATAGGTGGGCCTGCAAAAATGCCTCTGAAAGTCAGTCTCTGAGCTGCAACTGTCGCACTCCGCATCCCATCGTTTGTTCAGCCCCGGTCCTCTGACCCGGACTCGCATCCCTCACGTCCGCCACGCCGCCACGCCCACACCACCTCCCCTCGCGACCTCCTCCGAGTGGCGCCGGTCTGGCGCTCGATTTCCAGGACGCGGGCGCCTTTGGTACCTGAGCGAGGGGTCGGCAGCGGCTGAGCGAGGGCCGGCGGCGGTCCCCGGAGGAATCGACGGAAGGTGAGACTGAAGGTCGCTATAGTGTCGATTAACTGCACGACCAGCCAGAAAAACGACATGAATAAATACAATCATGAATACAAAATACAAAACGTCCTTCTAGTTGAGAATGCTCATGTTCAACATGCCTCAAAGTGCTTTAAGTACACAAACCTTTTGAACGCCTTGTCTGCTTCGGCTCTAAATGTCTTAAGATGTGTCAACTGCTCAAATAACAGGTAAACCTTGGCTCTCCGATCTCGTCTCAGGAACTGCGAGGGTTTTTTTTGGAAGTGAATACTGAAGGACTACCAGCCAGCCAGGCAAAACACTCCTGACCAGCTCACTGCTGAACATGTAACCTTCTCTTCATCTTCTTGATGGTGCACGAAGGGTATCTTGATGGGCATTACTTGGAGAGATGATAGAGATGCGAGTTGTTTTTTGTCCCATGCATGAGCGTCTCATCTCCCATGCACAGCTTACTCGCACATCGATGCGGACCGGTGCATCGCGTGCGCGCGCGCGCGCCAGCGCCACATCCCATTGCTCCGGTCCGAGCGTCCGATGACTTTGCCAATCTGCCCCTGCGAGATGTCCACGTATTGCTGCCCCGCATATCTCTCGGACATGGGTCTGGACCTGTCTGCCGGCACGCCAGGCGCGGAACACATCGGGGCGGGAACGGCGGAAGCATGTGGAGTCCTTGTTAGAGGTGTTGAGAGTCCATCAGCGGTGACTGAAACGCCGAGATCAGGAGTGCTGAGGTGCAAAACGTAAAGGTGTGGTGGTCTGGTTGTCCTACCATGCAGGATTTTGGCGTGGGGACCAGCTTTCTGAAGTGGTTCGTGCTCTACCCTGGCCTTTGCTCAGCCAACTCTTTACATCCCTTCGCCTTTGCTCATCCGTTCTCTGCGGATTTCCTCATGCCACCCTGAAGGCCCCCCAAGCCAGTCTTGGAATGAAGCTCCCACAAAGTCTTGAGCCCAGCGACAGCTCGCGTATGAGTTCCTTGGCTTTTTGCACCTCAGCACTCAGGCCAGGGACCGAACACATGGACTCCAGTTCCATGTCTTGATTCAAATGGAACCAGGGACCGAAGACATGCACTCCATTGTCTTTTATTAGTTCATGTCTTTATAATATTTTATAATGAACATTCATTTGATAAAAGTCCATGCATGTACATTGTAGGTCCACAAACCGTCTGCGTGGAGCCGCTGGCATGTCAACTAATTCCTGGGTTTCCAAAACGATTGGAACCACGGTGCTTCGTTTCGGCTTGCAGTCTCAAATATTAAGAATGCAACTTTCAAAGGGTGCTTCGTCCAAACTCTGTGCATGCAGTGGCTCTGCTAAAGGATTTGTGCTTTGGCTCTTGCTGGTGCAGCCAGTTCTTTAGTCTCAGCAAGCTGGAGCTTCTTTACCATCCATGACTGGTGCGAGGGTGGATGGGTGCCAATGGCCTTTCCTGCAGGGGAAGTAGAATTCAAACAGTCGAAAGAAGCATCCACTCCTCTTTGAATGGCCATGTATCCATGCATTGGCTCGGCTGAAGCCCGTGCAAGGTTCTTTTCTGCGGGAAGTTGGTCGCCAGCCCCACGTTCACCCGGCACCCGGCTACCTCTCAGAGGTCAAGCCACGGCCTCAGGAGGGCCTTCAATCTTCACTTGGCAAGGATCCTCCTCCTGGTCCTGAGGTCGGTTGGTCTTAGATGGGACCGACCACGGATGACCAAACTGCTCAACCAGCAACACGTGAAGAATGCAGCGACGGGTGAAGAAGAGGACGAGCGACTCAAGCACAGAAACACGAGGGCAACGGTCACTCAGTTGGGTGTATTGTGTATTGTAGAGGTGGCAAAGTCCATGAGATGGGTGCGAAGATTCCGCCCATCCGAAGACCAACGGAGTGGCGCAAGCATGTATAACAACGAAGTCACCATAAGAATTTGCCTGACCCCTTCTTTGCTGAGTCCAACCTCCTTCCAATATATCTTCCAATCTTCTCGCTCAAACCTCCAATGTTTGGACGACCTGTCGAACATCCCAAATACTCCTAGACCTCGGATTGCCGCTCAAAACACGCGCGTCCGCGGCGCCGCGGCCTTTTCTGTGGTGCCAAGTGTCCCGGGCATCCACCTTCCAAGCACCGCTCTTGGACCGCACCTCGTGCTCGTCGAGCGCGAGCGCGCGGAGTCGCTCGGACGAGCCGTCCAGGATAGCTTTCAGGGCCAAATGGTGGGCTGTTGGTGGTGGAATCCTGGTCCATCCCTACGCCCAGTCTGCCCTTGGTGGGCTTATCAAGTGACAGTAAGATGAAATGATCATGTATCCGGACCATGCCCAAGTCATGAATATGTCAGACCTTGATTTTGGTCTGTCCAACCACCGCATGTGATTGGATTCCCACTGCCCCTCGGTTCAGACGCCCGACCCGGCCTCTGCAATGGTCCTGCCACGTTTGCCGATCACCCGGGCGATCTCTGAGCGGGGCACCTCGACCACCTCCTGCCACGCCACGCAACGCGGATCCGAGCGGATTGATCGAGAGGATGTGGGATGACCTGATGGAATTTCACCTTCAGAGACTGGTGGGCGCTTTATCTGGTGGGACTGGTGGAGTAGATGGCGCAACGCCGGTTGTGAGGAAGGCTCAGTAGATGGCTCAACTCAATATTCCAGGGCCACTTACTTTCCAAAGAGAGTAAACATATATAGTATCTGGCCATGTTTGGCCTGAGAACAACATCGACCGTGTTCAGGAGACGCCACGGAACCCATGTCTCTGCCACTCCTCAATGCCACCATCAAGGAATGTTGACACGGACGCAGGCGCTTCCGTGGGTGCAGAACTAGCAGCCGCTGCTAGTACATGGGGGAAACCTTGGCGTCCGAGCGTTTTGGTGGCAGCTCGCTCTTGGATGCTGGCCTTTTGTGATATGTTGCCCATGGTGCACTCCATTCTTGTATAGAGCCTAGACACATCAACCACAACCTACCGTGCAGAACACCAAGATCAACAAGTCTGTGCATTCAAACACATTGTGCGATCATATGCCATCATGCTGTGTCATTGCCATGAAGCTGCCCCGTCGCTGCTTCCCGTGCCTATACTTGCTTCACTACTTGCTTCATATGTTCACCTGATTCACTGGATGTCTCAAGAGAATCTTCCAATCAAAATGGCAAAAACAACCACCCAAAACATCCCAAACAACAAACTACCTTCAACTCATTCATTTTCCCTGACGTGTCCAGTGCCTGCAGTTGGACGGCTATAGCTATAGGCCTGAGCCCATTGGCTATATGCCACCGTCGCCCAGTAGCCTTGGGTAGCAGAGTTGGGAGCATCTGAGGGACGATAAACAATAACAAAGCATATATGTTTATATGATCAGTTACATTTCTCCAGGTCCCCCTCCATTTTGTTAAGTTAAAAGGGGTAGGGACCTTATATGTATACACTTACTGTACGCTCCTTGAAGTAAAGATGGAAGTGGAAAACCACCTGTTTGGATCCTGTTTGATATTCGGGAGATATATGAAGGTATGGTTATCCGAACTCAGGCTATGCTATCCACTTCCGTGATGATTTCAGGGAGTGTACAGTAAATGAGCTAGTTAGTTCCTGAGTCAGAAAAACACCTTGGACTTCGCAAAGAACTAAGAACCACGTGGTGCAAATAAAAAAACTCAACATGAATCGAAGCACGATGACTATCTGCGTTCGCTAAGACTATCATCCACCCACAGGGATGCTCCTGATCCAAACTCTAAATGACTCTAAATCCTATGTACATCGTAGAGGCTGATTCCGACCTCTGACTTATTCCGACGATCAGTGCATCGGAACTTAGTGAATGAACAAGCTATCAGCATCTATCAGCCATGCCAGGCCACCTGCCCATGCGTTCGCATGGAAGCCCTGCACATGTGCAGCTTCCTCTCTTTCCTCGCTGGAGTCTGAGCTGGAGCTGCTTCTCTTCTTGGCCTGGATGGACTGTGACTAGGTAACTAAGTTTGAGTGTTCTCCATAATCTGAAGACGTTTCACGAAACTCCAGTGGGGGGATATGATAGAATCAGCAGTCAACATTCGATTGGATGGATGTCAACCAATGAAACACCGAACACCCGGTCTCTTCAACCGCTGCCCTGGACCGCATATCGCCCAACGAACACGGGCGCGCTTGGCGCGCCCGAGCAACAGGTAGGTGTAGTGGATATTTGGGCATTGGTTGATCTGCCCTCTCTATCTTTTTCACCCCTTGGGATCCATGACATATCTTCCATGATCAGGGTGTGCTGATTGGATGAAAAAAGGCTGTGGCTGGCCATCTGTTCATTCTGACTCTGCATGATCCGCATGCCATGCCTTGGCTGCCATGTTTATTCATGTATTTGACATTATATAAGCGGAAATGATGCCTGTGGAAACTGAACGGAAGGTGAAGAGCGGGATGTCGTAGGGCGTCCCGACTACGAACCACGATACATGTGTTTTGCAAAGCCGTAAAAAACATTTTATATAATTAATACACTCAGCAAAATTGTGAACTATATAATATTGAAACATATTAATATTCACCTACCTCATTCACTACCCGCCTTCTTGGCCTTCTTCGCCTTTTTTCTCCGCTTCGGAGAGCGTTCTGCCGGCTGCACCGCGCGGCGGGGCATGGCGCATGGCCACGGTCGTTCCGCTGCTTCGTGTCTGTGCTTGGTGCCTCCAGCAGGTAGAAACCAATCCCCTTTTTAGATCAAATTCTGCTGCGAATCCTATTGGGTCGTGTTTGGGAAGGCTTCCTGTATACTATATATGCGCTGTTCTACCATCGTCCCCAGGCGCTCTGACAGCCAACCCCCTCGTCCTGCAATTGCGACACAGATCCCCTCGATGTCTTCCGACGTCAGCGACTCCAGGCGACCTGTGGGGCCTGTAGTTATATATTTAGACATGTTGTTCAACACACCATATATGTGGTCACCATGTGGTCACCCACATCGCGCTGGAAAAAGTCCAGCCCCGCGGATTCCTAAAGTTCATGGGCGCCTGTGCGGATTCACCTCCATGAAGTATGTTCAGTTCTGAAGCTTAGTCTGAAGGAACCAAGTTGATCTTATTTATATTAACCAACAAATACGTTTTAAGGCAACTCTCACAACTGTTTGAGTTTCTTGAGCGTTAAGCTGCCTGCGATGGTCAAGCAAAAACAAGTAAACCACCTCACACGGGATGTAGGGCATCCCATTCAAAGTCGCTCTGGCTGCTGGCTTCCTCGAATTTCTGGCCCCCGCCCCTTCCCCCATGTTTGCTCACCTTATTCACACAAACAACCAATCATCTGCTGATCAAGGCATTGGCACAAAAGTGATTGGCCGGCTTTGAGGCCATGGCAAATCATTGCAAATCACCAACAGTCACCACAGGACCAATGAAGTCCAATATCTGACTAGTCCCTCATAATTAGTACATGACCGGCCGGCGCACTTGATGTTCTTTGACAGGTTGTTGGGTTCATATTACCCCATGTTCAGTCCGCTTTGCCAGAAACGCCCACCAACTCCTTTTCATCCGGAGCGTTCCGTCGTCGGCTCCCCCGCCCGTCTTTGCGGCGCGCGCCAGCGCGACTCGGACGCAGTTCACACGGACCGACTCCTTGGTGGTGCTCGTTTTGGTCCCTGTTTTTCCAAAACGAGGCCAGGGTTGGCACAAGAACGTCCAGCAACTGTTCGAACCAATTGCTTATATAAGTATAGCGTGCTACGGCAGTGCTGAATGGATACAAAAAATAGCGTATATGCATTCTGAATTCTCGGTGGCAAACTCATTACGTTGTTTCCAGGGCGTCATGAAAAGCACAGCCAGCTCTTGCACACTTCCCATGATGTTTCGCTAGCCGCTAGCTAGCTATTTATTGGCAATACGGCCATTTCTTGGCCGCAAGGGCATACCAAACCCATAATGCCGAACGGCCTCAATTCAAGAAATGCACCCCAAACTGCCCCAAACGGCGGCTTTGTACATTTCGACTGTGGCCTACGGGGTCCACATAGCTTGTGACTGCATGCAGTTTGGTCAATGGAGTCTTCAAACAAAATCAGTCGCGTGAGCCTTAGTAAGCCTCATCCAACATATCCAAGCCTCATCCAAAACATCTGTTCTAGATCATCTAGTAACAAGAAGCTACGCACGGTGAAGGCCATCGCTGTTAGGTTGGAGGCCATTACTACTAGTAAGAAGCTACTAGTATAACAAGTAAACTCTAGCCCTCCCCTCCAAGAAAATCCTCATGCTCTTGCTCCATGTCCTGCCAAGTGCCCAAAGAGTGCGGAACAAACGCAAATGAGCCGGATTCTGCAGGTGACTCATGACCTTCTTGAGATCCCTTTTTTTGAGGCCATGCACTTAACCCTTCTATCACTTAGACCCTAAAAGGACTAAAAAGGGTACTCCATCTTGCACAAACTCTCCACCCGTAGCCATGGAGCCATTTCTTCCAGCAGCGGCTCCGATGCATCGCTATCTCCCTCAGCCACCGTAGATCTCGTTCCTGAGCGCGGCCGCTGCGGCACCGGCAAACACCCAGACTTGTTCGTGAAGGTGACCGTGTTGGATACACACCGCATGCGCAGGTTCGGCCAGGTTCGGGACTGCACACAGCATGCGAAGCGCATGGATTCCTCGATGTAGGTGATTTAGTGGGTGTGTATGGGTGTCGTCCAGCGTGATCAGTCATGTAAGCAAAGTGCAAGCCCGTACAAGCCCATCCGACCCAACCCCACCCATAGCAGCTCATCCAAAGCACAGTTTAGTTTCTTTCCAAGTGTATGCTTTGTCACTAAGGATCCTGCAAGGATCCTAAAGGACCTGAATCAAGTGACACCACCTGTTCCCAAAGCGACCGCCCTCCCAAGTAGAAGGAACCGAACGTGAAGTCAGTTGGCTCCTCCATTGATGCTGATGCTTACAGACCGGGTCCTCTTTCCGCTCCTGACCGATGTGCGGTGCTTCTGCGGTGCTTCTTTCAAGATGAGCATCTTGCAGCACACGATCAAGGGCGCCTTTGGGAGATCGAAGCCCAGCTTCAAGCCTCAGGTCGTGCCCGAGAACGCCTCATGGCGTCTGGCGTCTGGCTAAGCCATACATTTCCATGGAGTTGGGTTTTTTGGTAAATTAACATATTCTTTTAAAGGATACGTGTTCGATCGTTTTAGTCATTTAGCAACAAACAAGGTTGAGCAAAACACTGTTCGTAATAACATGTAATAACCAATAGTAACCCTATCGAACACTGCAATAGTTTTGGAATGGATCGATGCTAGTGTTGAGAGACACAACGACCTCAATCTTTAATCTGCAGATTCAGCCGTGGGCAGCTATATCTGGACCTAGTGGATTTGGTGGATTGGCGGTTTGTATATGAGAAGCCTCATTGGAGCGTCCTCGTCCATCGGCTACCAGCGACGAGTGGAGATTTGCGACCTGCCATTGGCACACGTTACGCTCTTCAATTGATTTTCAGCTGATGTCCAAAACAAGTTTTACCTCAAAGCAGGGGATGCCTTTGGACCATTCAAGTTTGGGCCGCTTTTTCCGTTTTCTGGTGGTTTGGGCCCATGATCCTCACATGCTGCACAGGCGGTACCTCTGGTTGTGCCGATCTTGGACGGTTCTTAGGACTCGGATGTCATCTCTAGTCTAGTGCCGAAGAGATTGTGGGGGAACTAGTGGTTCCAGACTGCTAAACTGAACTAGGGCCAACAGCAACACAAAATCAAGATATCACAAAATAGGGAAAAGGGTCCATCTTCATGAACTAGAAGCTTCCCTGCTTCAATGCTGCCTCAACAATTCAGTTGTGGCATTTTATCCTCCCAATTCTGCCAAACAATGAGTGAGTTCAAACTCCATCAACTACCTGAGGTGGCCTGATCCCTGGTTCCATGTGGCCATGCATGCGAGGCGCAAAAGATCTTGGCAGCACCTGAGCAGGCCACCTCCGGCTTGTACATGAAGCATCCTCCATTGGCTGCTGGACAACCATCACCTCAGCCAGTGCAGCGGTCCGACCATGTCATCCACCCCATTTGTAAGAAATTAAACTTATATATATATAACTCTATCTATCTATCTATCTATCTATCTATCTATATATTATATATATATATATAAGTATACACCATATGCGTGGATGTGGAAAACCACCCGTTTGTAGAGGAACATTTATCTGGTCATCCAAGCTCTTGGCCCTGCCATCCACTTCGACCACCAAAGGAGTGAGACTTCGCACGGCGTCGCCGGATCGGATCCCATCGGGTTTCGGCTCCGTTTGTGCCCGTTGGCGCGGCCAGTTGGGCCCAGTTTCACCAAAGAACGGTGTCCACATTTACTTGAGTGGACAGAAATGATGCGCATGCCCGGACATCCCCCAATTCCAGGGATCACACGTGGATCCACTTCCGGGGTCCGAGATCCACTTCATCCGGCCAGCTGAGCAACCTTCATCACAGCCACAGAAGAGCTGACTCTGAATGCAACCTGGGTGGCCAAGCGGCAGCAGAAAGGCAGGTGAGGGACGTTCATTGGTGCAAAGAAGCACAATGGCAAATTGGCATCTCTCAAAACATGGAACCTCGACGTAGCAAAACCGCCTCCTAGCCTTTTACGAGTCTAACGCCGAGCATGCAGCATATCCCCAACACAAACAGACTTGGTTTTGGGTGGTTTTGGGGAATCTTGCCTAGCTCCCTGGCACAATGCCCCTAACTTGGATCGTTTAACAACCATGGGCCATGAATACTCAAAGAAGTCAAAGAGCACATGTTTCTTTCCAATCCAACACCGATACCGGTTAAATTCCGAGCTCAAAACATGCCACCTATATTCCACCTTTAAATATACATATATACACATAGCAATCTTCCAACACATTGAACCTTGATATATCTTATGCACAAGCTAGCAGCTAGCATCTGAACTAGCACTCTCCTTCACCTACACAAAACCTCCGCCCTCTTCGTGGCCCGTCCCGAGCAGCAAAAGTTGGTCTCTTCACCCACGATGACCTTCCCCGCAACGCTGCCGATGCCCGCAGTGACGCAGCAAAGCTTGGAGTACATGGAATCGTTCCAGGCGGGAGCGGCACCCTCGCCCAAACTCTGGTATCTCGGACGCGCACAGGCGGCGGAAACCACTAGAACGGCGAAGCTCGTCGGTGGGGTTCCGTGGCCGCAGTAATGGGTTTATAAGTGGCTTATATAACTATAGAGATGTCTATAGAGTTTCACAACTCCTCTTTTTTCTCTAGAGTCCACCTCAAGAACTCATAGTAACATGCAACATTCCAAACAGTTGGTTCCATCTGGGCCCGTTTTTGTTGGACATCCAAGGAATCACAAATCACCAGTCGACTCGACTTCCCTACTCGTCGTCCGAACCACGGGCGGCGCGTTCCTACTTCGCGCCCTGGCGACGCGGATGCGAGGCACGCGGAAAAGGCACCATGCTTGGGATCCTTGAGCATCCGCAGCTGTTGGGGCACCGCCTCCAAGTCCTCAAAACGCCGATGAGCTTGCGCCATGAACCAAGTCGGTCCGAGCATGGGGTCCCGGGTTGAAAATGGCTAAGGGGGCTTGTGCATGGAGCCCGTCCCACGACTCCAAAACACGTATTCCCTAGGGATCCAAGTACCTTCTCAGAAGGTGAGACTATTTATGTAGGCTTGGAGGGCCCAAGTACCTTCTGAGAAGGTATGTGGATCCCTAGGGATTATACATGCTGACTCCAACGACTCCATCATATTCAGCAGCAACGAGACCGTTCCCTCGAGAATTCCCGTGGCACCGTTGCATTCGTACCGAAGTCCAACGCAGCCGGCGACGTCGCCTGTTTCTACGTCGCCTAAGGTCCCACCCCTCAGGTAGTGAAGGGGAACTCCGAGCGCCAGGCTTCCAGGGGTTTGTTTCGCTCGACGAATGAACTCACCCATATGCATCTCTCCGCACACCTCCCCTGCTGACTCTTAAGTAGCTCTAGATGTCAGGCTATAGATGGCTATAGAAACTTCGATGTTGATGCCAAGTATCCATGCTCTGCACCATTGGCGCTTCACTCTCCATTGCCCCCCCGGTCGCACGTCGCCGGTTTCGAAACAAACCGGGTTTTGCCGTCGGCTGCCAAGTCGCGGCCAAAGCGAAGGTGGGGGTTGGGAAGCACAGGATGAGTATGCAGCATGTCATGTGTCCTTCGATCAATTTCACTCAAAGGATGCCCAAGGTACTTGGGGCAAACATCGGGTGTCCACTCACTGGCACGGTTTTGCAGGTCATGCCTCATTCTGATTCCTTTGGTGGTGGATCAATGCAACCCCCCCAAAAAAAAGCACAGGCTAGGTCACCTCCTAAAAGTAACTTGAGTCACATGCTGGTCCCACAACATGTGTGGGTCCAGCCCTTCGGGAACCCCCCTTTTTCAGCCCGCCAACAGTTCTTTGTGGCAAAAGTCCTAGCCTGTGGGCCCCACAAGCACATCGAAGTAGAGAACCAATCCTCCTCCATTGCATTTCTTAGACAAGTCTTCCGGATCAGCCAGGCTTGAAGGGGCCCTGGTAATCAGGATCTCTTTGGATTGAAAATCTTGCATCACTCACAGCAGGGCGCCACGCGCCGGGCGCAGCCGGGTGCAGCTGGGAAGGACATGCAGTCTTTCAAAGTATGAACATCATGCATAATAACCGCAAAAGAATGATTATAGTAGCAAGATGTAGCAAGTTGCAAGCCGTTACTGCTCCTTTCCTTTCCCTCCCGAAAAAATACATATGGATCGATGTACAACCCCACCTCAGCTATCTCCAGCCAAAAGCGAAGCAAAATTATGCAGGATGCATCATCAAAGGTATAGAACCATTCGGAGGGCCTCAAAAACACACACACTATATATATATATATACATATATATATATACACAATCTGAAAAAGGGCCAACTAGCTTCAAAGTGGTTGCAGCAGGACAACCACACCAAAGTGCGACTACGTAAAGCGCATCCTATATCCCAAGCGCAAGAAACGACCACTGTTTCATTGGATTCCGTGTGACTCGTGCATCTCATCTCTCCAGCATGTGCAAACCCAGAATCCCAGCTGGCACACCCCTGCTGCTACTCTGTCTGTGCCTTAAAGCCGCTCACCCACGCCAGACCTCCTTCTGGCAGCAAACGATGTAAGGTGTCTTGGGAAGTTCGAAGCCAAGCTTGATGCCTCAGCCCACCCAACCTGTACCCGCCCACATGCGGCACGCACCATGGAACAAGTGGTTACTGGTAGGGCTTGGGTCATGCAAACGAGTTCTTGTCTATAGTCTATAATAATCTATATACTCGAGGACAACAGGATTGGGTTGATGGAAGAAAACAACTGCATGATTGGGACACTCAAGGAGTGATTCCACCATTCACTGGTTTGGCGAATTTGCGAACCCTTTTTATGATCACCAGTGAGGTTCAGAGTCGGATCAGGGCGTCCTCTTTTCCCCGAGGAGGGCGTCGGCACTGGTCTTCGGGGGCGTGGGTGGGGAGGGAGGTTCTGTCTTGCACGTGATTCCGCATTATGCACTCCTTTTCGCCCAGATCGCCGCCGTTTGACAAGGGTGGCCAGGAGGTTTCTGGAATTAGGACACTGGGAATAGTTAACATGCTGTATGTGAAGTTTCTACAACAGTGACTGACTCATCAACTAACTATATATAGTTATTATAAATTCAACGGTGAACACGCCGACTAATACGCATCTAGTAACCATTACTTTTACACCCAATGTGTTCTGCTATGCTGTGCCCATGAACTACTCCCATCGCGCAACTCCCCAACCCCTTGCTGAAGTGGGTGGTACCATTACACTTAGCTGAGAACAATCATTTGACCTGAATAAGTAAGATGCAAAGTTAGGATATAATCCCCGTTCGCCACAACCTGGCATTCTTCATGCACTCCGCAGAAGTGCCTGCAAGAAATCAAGAAATCCGAAGTGCCTGATACCCGAGCTCAGTGGTAGGAATGTCTAGATATGGCATTGGCAAACATTGGAAGAACCCCCTTCCGCACGGAGCTTAGGGGCAACGGTTTCAACGTCCGGGATCTCCGTGGTGGGAGCCCCAAGCAGGAGATATAGATCTCTGAATTCAGAACATAAGTTGGAATGCAACATCTCTTCTTTCCCGTTTTTCAGGTTAGGGATATAAAGTTCTTCACATGCAGAACTGATCCACAAGCCTGCCAACAACATGCACAACCCTACCCCAGCGCGACAAGTCACAAAAGATCTTGGCTGAGCCCTCACAGACCAACTCAGGCTTGAACATGTAGCACCCACCATTGGCTGCAGGGCAGCTGTCACCACTCTGGAAGCCACAGAAGAGTTGGCTGTGGATGCAACCTGAACATGAAACATCGATTTCGTAACACCTCCTGATTGGCCAAAACCAAACCGCCATAGAAACCACTACTAGGAATTTGGCTTCACCTGACTACTTGGCCTCGACATGCCTCGACACAAATGGCCTCGACATCGGCACCGCCGGCACGACCACGTGGCCCGCGCACCCCAACCGGGTTGGTGAAAAAAACACCACACCTCACAGCAGAACAAAGAAAGGTTGTTGCCACTGGTTGAGAGATATAGAAATCACCAACCTTTACACATTTAGTGAATGAATACAATACTTGAGAGGAGGGAGACACGAAAGGTAGGACAGCGGGAAGAGAAGAGAACGCGAGAGGCAGGAACAAAAATGCAATGTTCGACATGGTGATTTATCCCCTCGGAGGCGACCTTTCGTAAATATATGTTCATATGCACTTTAAATGTTCAAACATGTGCTCTCGAAATGTTCAAAAAGATTCTTAGGAAAACAAACTTGCCCCATGGCTCAGATCATCGGTGAGCATTGAATCGGAACATCATAGGATTTGAATTATCCTGAAACCATAAGAGGCTCACGAAGACGCTCCCCAGGAGAGAATTGACGTGCTTCACAAAACGTACCCCTCGGGGAACACCTTTCGTGATTAGAATTTCATATTCACTCTTTCTAAATGTTCAAGAGGGTTTCAACTATCCTGAAATCATGAGAGGCTCACGAAGACGTTCTCCAGGAGAGAATTGATTTTAGAGGGGGGGAGGGGGGGGGGGTCTGAATTGAGCGATCAATTATTAGACCCGGACGTCCCAACACTTTCTTCGCAAGACAAACTCAAGGTATCCCCTAAAGGGCTACCTTTCGTGATATGTTTTGTTTAATCGTCACCAATACGTCAACAAATCTTCAAAATCCAGAACTTGCATTTTCACACGACCCATCCACATACACCTCTCATCTTCGCCGCAATAACCGACAACCCCAAACCACCACCAACTGACACTTAGTGATCCAAGGAGAATATCCTTCAAGCGCCTTCAAGCTCTGTAGATATGGGCCACCATCACAAGACACGTTTGCCCTTGAACAGGATGTATTAAGTTGTGCTTCTATGTGCTTCTATAGTGCCCAACCCAAGCAAAAAACAAAGCCCATCATCTCCGATCTCCAATACGCAAGCAGTGGCATTCTTCGTTGCACTCTCTAGTGCTACTGTGGGGGGTCACTGCATTTTCACACCACATCGACGTGACATGATCGCTCTGATCACCCAGCGACAGAACTTGGTCTCCTCTCCCACCATCACATCGCCCGCGGGTTTTCCTGAGGCAAAGCCCTTTGAGACTGAAGAGTGCAAGCGTATGAGCGGCCACCCCCTTCCCTTACAAACCAAAAAACATCAAGAAAAATAAACACCAATATGTCGAAGTCATCAGAACTCTGAAAAGGAGTGTAAGCCAGGAGCTCCTGGCTTACACTTGGATGGCCCACATGGTCATCCCTTGGGGTCCCATCCCATCTTCCATGTGATGTCTTATGCCAGGAGGGCCAAAGGCCAGTATGACCCACATGATCTAGTTCTGAGGGTCTCCAACCGATCGGATGGACTCCCCTGAAACCGATCGAAGTAAGCGATGTTTCGTGAACGAAAGAGTGAGTGGTCTTGGCGTGGTGAAAAGCCACAAGAATCGAAAAATCAAAGTTGATGGAAATCGCGGGGAAAGCTATCTGACATTAACACACCAAAATATACAACTACAATTCAATACAGTCTGTCTGCTTTTCCAGGCGGAGGTTCTTCCTTCAACAGTTCAATACTTTCATGAGTTCTGGGGATAACTGCACAAGTCTGAATCTACTACAGCAAGCATCCGTACTTCTGGGACTATACATCTAGGACCGGAAGATTGCCAAACGATACTTGTCTATGTTTTCTATATATATATATATACATCTGTACTTGGGGACGAGGCCCCAACAACAAATACAGAAGCAAAATAGGCACCAAGCGTTTCTCAGGCATCCAAGTGTCCGATGCCACCCATGATACAAAAGAGCTTCGAATACAAGGAGTCATTGCTCACAGGGGCCTCGGAAGTTGCTGAGTCAAGGCTGACAAAGCAAGGAACGAAAACAAAGCTTGACGAAGCGGATCAGGGGTTGAACAAATGCCTTGAGATGTTCTAAGCGTTCTAAGTGCATCCAAGTGAAGGTTTGAACTCTCAAGCATTTAAACAAATCCGAGCCCATGATGCGGTCTGTTCGACTTCCAAATCTTCCAAGGTTAATGGATCGCCCGTGGATTTGGTTTGGACCACTCTTGGGAGGTGGTGGGCTACTACCTGAACACCCTCACCATCTAATCACCCGAAGTGGAAATCTCCTTGTTAGTTCCATTTCGGTAGGGCCCCATGTTGGAAGTCTGGAGACTTCCCCCAAGCGCCAAGTGGGCAAAACCACGAACGGCCACGTGGCCCGGCACGTTCCCATGGTCTTCCGTGCGCCCTGAGAGTCCAGTCATTGGAACGTTCTGGGTTCAGCGTGCATGTCGCGGAGCCACGCTCTTGCATGTCGTGAGTCGCTCTCCTAAGTCTTGGCCTGTAACATTGGATGAAACTCATCCCAAGAAAGAACAACAACTCCAACTGAACATCACAAGACCTCCAGCCCCAACATCCCCCAGTTGTTCTCCGCTCACCGAGGCGAGGATCAGAACCTTCACCCAGGCTCTGGTAGGCCGACCACGCACCGTGCTGCCTCTGACCGCTTTGGGGCGGTAGGAGGCGGTCCGAAGACCAAACAACCAGGTCGTTGTCAGCTTCTGGAAGAGAGATATTCCGATGTTATATGGTTTAAATGTGTACAGTATATCTTAAATGTTTACATATTGTATAATCATATGATATAGTAAATATGTAAATATACTATATTCATGCATATGTTATTGACTTATATATCTGTTCCGTTCATATCGAATTTGTGTGGCCCTATCGCAGCCTATCGCCAGGAGCCTCTTGTTTGGAAAACATTGGCAATCATTTGATTGTTGAGTTCATGTAGTTCTGAAATTCGGGCTCCCCCAAAGCTCAAGGCCAGGGACCTGCACATGTTTCTTTATTTTTA